TTCCTGCTCCACAGGAGCGCCCACGGATGAGTTTCTTGCTTTAGGCAGATTTATTCAGGGTTGGTTTTCTTTTTGTTTGAAAGGCAGGCTGAGCAAGTGGGGTTTGTTTTATTTAACACACACGTGTTGCTCTGATGTTAGACACAGCGCTGCTGTTCGTCCCAGGTGCACGTCCTGCTTGTTCTAGCCCTGCAGCCTCCGGCCAAAAACATGCTGGGCACTGAGCCTAGGGACAGACTATTGCACCTTTCGGATGCTCTGCCTGCTGGAATCGCCTCCAGCCCACTCAGGGTCGGCTTCGCGCCCACAAGCCGCTCCCACGCAGCCTGGAGATGCTTGCGGCAGCGGTGAGATCCACAGGGAGGATGGATGGATGCTCAACTCCACGCTGCCCAGCAAGCTCTGCTGGGCAAAGTCAGGGAGGAAAGCCCCGGCTGTAAGGACGGAGAGGGAGGTTGCTGTGACTGTGTGCATCCCAGCTTAGCACCTTGATTTGGGCTTTGTCTTCCCAAGATGGATATATTCAGCATGAAGCCAGCTTTCTCTGTGTGCAGGTCCCTCAGATGGCAACTCTGAACGGCCTTCTCAATGAAGAAAAGTACCAAGCATCAGGAAAGTGAGCTGCAAAGACCACGTAGATGGCTGCTTGGAAAAGCCATCCCATCGTACCTGCGACTTTTTTTCCAGAGAAGGATGATCATAGCCTCAGCCCTGATAGCAGCAGAAGGCAATCAGGGTTGATGATCCTTTTTACTTGCCTGGAAGAGCTCTTTGAAAAGGAATTTGGCAGCAGCAAGGAAAGCTGATAGGAAGAAATGGCTTGGAGAATTTTGTCGTGTGTTATCCTGTCTGTACCAGCCTTTATTCTCCACCCACGGGTGCCAGCGTTCCCAGCAGAAAGCTAGACCTGAGCAGTGAGGAGCAGCGGGCTGTGCTGGGGTGTCCTGCTGATGGAGGTGGCTGTGAAGCAACGCCAGTGGGTCACCAGCCCCTGGCTTCTCAATGGAGCATCCCGATGGACACGTTGCCTAGCTAGGAAAGGTCTCCAGCTCTTCCCTTGACAGCCACCCAGGGGAAGGTCACATCCCTCATCTTGATGTCTCTTGACCCTCTGGGTGGACCAGCACTGGAAGGGACTCTTGGGGTCTCCAAGCAGCAAAGCAAAAGGATGAAAGAGGTAGCAGGGAAGGGGAATTACTGGGGCTTCACCAACAGGCATGCTGCAGCCTGGCACCGAGGGACAAGCTCCTTCCCCCATCTTTTGCTATGCAAGTGTGAAATCCCCTTAGTTCAGCTCCAATTTGCACCCTCAAAGGACTGCCTGGGAATGGAGCTGTCTCCCTCAAGTCTCGGCCGGGAGGCACGTGCTTCATCCAGCCGCCCTCCCTCAGCCTCCCTTCTCCCCCCACGGTACCCGCAGGGACTCCTGCGGCTGCGATATTAGGACAAATTACTCAGGCTTTGTGTGGAGGGCACGAGCACCAACCCCTTGGTTTGCAGCCCATCCCTGGCAGCCCCACACCGGAGGGATGCACCCAGGCAGGAGCAAAATTTTGAGCTCTGGAGGATGTAAGGAGCGAGGAATAGCTGCTGAGAAATGCTCCGGGGAGCAGGGAGCTGCCTCGCAGCCCGTGGCAGCACAACTCCAGGCGCAGAGAAGCCCACCGCAGCGATTGCAACCTCCTGCTTCGTTTTTTTTACCTGCCATCGACGCAGCAGCCCAGGAGAGCCCGGGCTGAGCGGGTGCCACCTCCGGAGAGAGGTTGTCTTCCACCTGCAAGTAGTCAGAGGGAGAAATGTGCTAAAACAGGTGGAAAAAAGGATGGCACAGGGCAAAGACTAAGGAAAGCACAAAAGTGATGCAAAAGGGAAGCATGGTGCTGGTGGTCTGGGGCTCATGACTCCCCCCAGGCTGTGGGACCCCAGGTTACAGGTGAAACCCGTACCAGCACGGTCACAGCTCTTTCCCAGCAAGTGAAGGGGGCTGCAGCACTGCTGCTCTGCTGAGAGCAAGCAGGAGGGGAAACTGGAGAAAGAAAAGGGCACAAAACTGACAGTAGACATGAGACCTGAAGAAAGAGCATTAATCCAAGGGCCAGACCAGAGTTAAGGGACAGGAGAGCACACATCTGCAGGGTGATGGCCCACCAGTGTCCTCTGCCATATCCTCACTGCAAGAGGAGATCTTCATTCACCCACCAGCCCCAACTGCCCTCCTTGAGCCAAGACAAGGAGCGTTTTGCCCCCATGAAGCTCTGCAGCCCTCGCTGCTCACACCCTCGGGCTCTGCAACCCCCCTGCTCCCGCTGAAGCTGCGGGTCCCACAGCAGAGGCCTCATCCCTGAGCTCACAAGCCAAGAGGAAAGGTGCCCGGATAACACCGGCCTTCGAACCTCCATAGCCATCCCCTCGGATTCAGGGCAGAGGAGGACGATGCTCCTGCAGACAAACTACAACGCAGACCGGCTGCCCCCGCCCCGCATCCCCACTCCACCTTACCTCCCACTGCCGGCAGCAGGCCCCGAGCCCTACCCGCCAGGCTGGCTCCAGCGTCTGGGCCCGCTCCGGCCTTGTCACCCCCAGGCCCAGCGGGTCAGAGACCTTCAGCCGCTCGGCTAGCTGTGGAGCCGGGAGGGCAACAGGGCTCATCACACGTCTCAGCTCCACGGGGAAGAGACCGACCCTGGCAGCAATTGCACGTGGCTGGGCACACAAGCCCGGGGGAAAATAGCACCAGAGCTGCTGCACTTCATCATAGGGGGGTAAAAGTAACACCAGCCTCTTATGCAAGATTTATTCCTTCTCCTGCATTGCTGTGGAGAGGTGCTGGCCCATCCCGTGCCCCACAGAGACCCCAGCAGGGCTGTCTCAGCCACCTCCGCAAGTGCCGATGTCGAAGAGGCTCTTCACGTCAGAGAGGCAGGTAACTATTATCATCCTTTTCTCCTCCAAGGTAAATGAGCACCTTTAATCCCACTTGACAGCCAGCCCAAGGCACTGGCAGGTTTGCAGGACACCCCACCAGGAGCCCTGGAAGCAGCCCAGCTCCCAGGGCTGTGCACCAACCCCATACCTGACATAACGCCACAAGCATTACCGTCGCTCATAACCACGCAGAAAACAAATACAGGGCTGGGAGGGACCCGCTGAGGTTACCTGCTCCATCTGCCAGCAGTCTAGAAAATCCTGTGTGCCCAACACCAGCCCGTGCAGCCTGTGTTTGTCTGATTTGCACTTAAATCTCCAAGAAGAAGATTTCACAGCCTCCTAGGCCTGTCCTGATGCTTAATGTCCTTAGAACCAAAGAGTTTTTTCTTAATATCTAAGCGAAATCTTCCCTGCTGCAAACTAAGCCTCTCGATTCCTGCTCCCACAGAAGCTGCGGGGACAGTCAGGCACCATTCCCAAAAAGCTGCCTCCTGCGTGCCAGCGGACTGTTATCACATCCCCCCTACCCCTTCCTCCCCCAGCATATCTTATCTGGGAAAAAATAACCCCAAGGCCTTCTTGGGAGGTCATTTCCCCCCTCAATCTCTTATCACCCTGCTCTTCTCTTCTGCACTTGCTCCAGTTTGGTCCTGAGCGTCGCATCCCCAACAGAGCACAGTGCCCCAGCCAAGACCCCCGAGACCCGAGCATGGAGGGGTTATCACCTCCTTGTCTCACACATGCCATTCTTGCTCTCACAGCCCAGAATAACATTGGATTTTTTTTTTTTTTTTTTTTTTCCAGAATAAAATTGGATTTTTTTTTTTTTTTTTTTTTGCAACAGCATTCTGCTATCATGTTGCTGCTCGGTATTTTTTCCATGCTCCACTATCTCCCCCAGGTCCCTCTCTGCAGTATTGCTGCTGTGTGTTTAATTTTTCCTGCAAGACAGGGCTTGCAACCAGGGCAGCACAGACCCATCTCAATCATGTGGGGCTCCAGCTACCATCAACAGCAAGAGGCTCTTCTGGGACGACCCATCCCACCAGCCCAGGGAGCAACGGAGGGCTCCCTGCAGAGCTAAATCCCAGCCTGGAGAAATTGCTTAGAAAAGGGTCCAGTTTTAAGACAGCTGGACCAGGGGAGAGGACACTCAAAGCACTGCTCTTCACTCGAGTCTTCACTGAATTTTTTCTTACTGGTAGCAACCCACTTCTTGGGGATTTCTCAAGCTCCCTCGCACTCATTTATCTTCTACGCTTTGCTATGAGGCCGCATCAAGGGCCACCAAAAGCCATCTAGAGGTGACTTTGCAGCTCAGCCACCCTCTGCAACCACATGGGTCTCAGCTTTCCCCCCAGCACCAGTCCCCATTTCTTCCTATTCCCAAAGTTTTTAAGAGCAAAGTCTAAACCAGCACAAAACGCTTCCCACCTCCAGGAGGTTACAGCGAGACACGACCCACATGGCTGGAGCCCGGCTCGGGACACGGGACAGCCACGGAGAGCGGAGTAACCCAGCACCCAGCCAGGAGCTTACGCTCCCAACAGACCCACCGTCCCATCTTTTTGCAAACACACATGTGTTCATCCTAAATCATTTGCAGGAAAGAGGAAATTATAAGCATGATTACTCCTAAACGGGGGGAATGTTTAATCCAAAAGCTAATGTGCACTTTGATCCAACATTAATGAACCAGCACCTGGTTGTAGATTGTCCCCAGCTTCAAAAGAGGGGAAGTCTTAATCAAACACTAATGTGTGTCATAATTTGTAACACAGTCTAAAACATCAAAGACAGGAGTGTCTACGAATGGACTAGTTTTTCAGATGAAAGTGTTTTCTCCCAGGAGAAGCACTATCCCCAGCAGAACGGCAGATCTGAGAGACAGTTAGGCAGTAAATAGATTTCGATGATGGAGGGGCGGGTTGCTGCACCGGCCGAGTTTCGGGCGATTTCTACAGCACCTGCTTCAGACAGGCATCCCTGCTGCCCCTCAGCTCACGGCTTTTGACCCCTTCCCGACAGAGGAAGGCTTTGAGCAGCCTCAGCACTGCCCCAGTGATACACGTGGAGTGGGCAGACCCGCTCTGCTGAGAGCCCAACCTGCTCTGGGGACCTGGGACACTTTGCTTCTCCCCTCCCTGCCCCAGCACCCCACTCATGAAGCAGAGGGGCTGGGCTCAGTGCTACAAGCTGGGACTCGCTCCTGTTGGCTGTCATCCCAAAAGGGCTGCCAGCAGGTAAATGCAATTGTGGGATGATGTGCTGGAGGAGAAATGTCAAGCACTCACACTTCAGCTCCTTAAGCCTGTGCCATTTAGAAGTTCAAAAAGCCCCTCCAGAACAGAAAACATCCTTTTCTTCAAATAACTCTGCTCCTACTTGGCCGTCAACTCAATTCCTTTGTTTTCTACCCTAAGTCTGTGGGTGTTAGAGGCCTCACGGAGGCATTGGCTTTGCTGTGCACAGCACATGCCAGGCAGCAAACTCTGGGGGGATGCTCAGAGCTGGCAAGCAGCCCCAGCCATGGGAAACCCCGAGGATCCTTCCCACCACACCGGGTCCTGAACGGGTATCACACCCTGCCAAGGATGCAGTGGGGTACGAGACTCACCTTCATCACCTGCTGGGCCAGGACGGGGTGGCTGGCCGGATCCTTGCCCAGGAGCGCGGCGGCAATCTGCTCGCAGTATTGCAGGGCCTGGGCTGGGAGCCCGTAGTCAGCCAGGCGAGAGGCGTAGAGGAGCTTGTACACCTCAGGAGAAGGAAGCAGAGCAGACACCGGTGAGCAAGGAGGTGCTCGTGCCCATGGGTCCCCTCTGCCATGGCACATCATCCCAGCGTGACTTGTCATGAGTCTCATCGCCCAGAGGTCATCTGCAACTTGAGGACACCCCACTCGTCCCTGTGGGGCCACACGGCCTCGCTCCCCGAACCACAGCACTGTCTCAAGGTCAGACCTGCCCAGAGCCACCAGATGGGCTGTGGGGAGAGCATGCCAGCCCACCATCTTCACTTATCCACCCGAGGCAGCGGCAGCCGGGCGCTTATTTGCAATATGAAAAGCCCATCCGTTACCCAGAGAGCAGGATGGCAACCAGACCTGAGCAAGCACCGATCAAACACACCGTGCCCCAAAATGTGCCCTGCCCTGACCCGGAGGAGCCCCTCGGCCAGGGCAGCCTCCCCATCGCTCCCAAAGCCCAGCGAGAGAACAAGCCTTGGAGAGCAGCCTGAATCCCTGGCTTCAGGGGGATGGATGCGTGTTTTGGGGCAGGTCTGAGCTGCTGCACCAGAGGTGCTTGTCCATCTCTGCTACCTGGAAGGGGAGCAGGAAGGATTCAGGCTGTCGTAGCTGCTGACAGTACTCAAAGATTTCCATCCGCTGGATGACCTCTGTTCTGGCAAACTGGGCGAACGCCTGGCTGCGGAGGAGAGGGGTAGGTTCAGTGAGCAGGCGCGGAGCTGTCTCCCCAGGCAGCCCCACACAGATTCGCAGCTCCACCACCATGCCAGCCTGTGGCTGGAGAGGCCTGGAGCAAAGCTCACACTGAGAGCAGTAAAAACTGACAAACAGGGATTGCTTTTGCACGAAAGTGAGTTCCCAGGGATGGGGATAAGGTGGGACACGTCACCCTGGCAAGGGCACTGCCTGCCTGAGCTCACTCACCGGTGGTTGCTGCCCAGTAGAACCATGCGGTCTGCCTTTGTCCCGAAGTAACCCAAAGGGACATCTGCCATCAGGTAGCAGAAGTGAGCTGCTTCGACTGCTCCCCTGCCAGCTGGATGGGAGGGAAAAAGACAAACACTTCGTCCTGAGAGAGGTCACTGCATGGTCAACATTGCTTTGGAGACCCCCAAACTCAGATGCAAACCCAAACCCAACCACCCCACTTTCCCCGCCCATTCAGACCCTGAGCCCTCTGTTATCTATCCCTGGTTTTTGTCTGTTTTCCCCAACTGCTGTTCTCTGTACCTAGGAGGGGGGTCCAGTTCAGTGGTAGGACCAGGGGACCCTGAGCAGACTCCAGCTCTGCAGGGTGCCATTATTGGCATGAAATCCCCAAAAGTCCCCACCACAGGGAGGAAGTCTCAGTCCCTGCAGTTACATATGCCCTCCCTGTGTCCAGCTGCTCCAGGTGTTTCCAAAAAAGCAGTTAATGGATGTGTCTGAGCCTGACTCATCTGCCAGCACAAAGAGCAGTAGGATCCATCAACCTCCCATCCCTGCCACCGCACAGGCACTGCAGCTCTCCAGGGGTACAGGTGTGCATGCACCATTTAGCACCGATTCACATCTGTGCCAGTGCAGATGTGCACAGTGACGCTGCAGGTGTCCACCCAACTGCTACAAGACAGCAGAAACATAACTGCTTACAACGGCTTCAGCTCACCCAAAGTGTCTCCCATGGTGACGATGGCTCGGTGGTTCAGCTCCACGTCTCCAACTTTGTTGGACAACATTACAGCCAGGTGGGGCCTCCAGTCTCCCCATGTGGCATCCCCACAGCACTGCAGGGAGACAAGAGGAGAGTGAAGGTGAGCAGAGACGGTCACCACAAAGGTGGGTGTCACAGCAGGTGACAGCACAGGGGCACACGTGCCAGGGCCAGCCTCTTGCTCACGGACCAGTGCTGCCTGGGGGATCCTTCCTGACATGAGCTGGAAGAGGGTCTGCAGGGGGTCATTGGTGGCCAGCGTGCTGGTGAACCTGTGAGGATATAGCAAAGATGGAGCTGCCATGCCAGCACCCCAAATCCTCATTCACCTCCAAGGGCACATTCCAAATGCCCCAGGAAAGCAGTGTCCTGAGGGGTTGCCCAGAACGCAGAAAGGATCATCAGCCCACCAGGCTGATGATCTGAATCACCTCCAGAGCAGGCAAGTCTCCAGGACAACACTGGATAAAACCTCCTTAAAAGGATTCATGTTGCACAAGACAGAAAATTTATGCTTAACTCTCCCTGAAGGGATCAACCCAATCCAGACTAAGTACATTAATTCCACCAGAAAACGTTCATACGAGTGGGCTGAGCAGCTCAGATCAGGCTGGATCATGAAGAAGATAACCCAGCTCCCTCTACTCTGGATGCCTTTGCTAGGGCAGCAAGGGCAAAGCCAAAGACTCAGAATAAATCCCCCCTACATCCCCAGGGAATGGCTTTCCGTCTGTTTTCCAGCCCCCACCTTGGTTTCTCCTGTCCATCAGGAAGCTTGAAAGACTCAGGCCCATTCGGATGGACGCCTCCTTTTTCCCTTTGCCCCCCCTGCAAGGGTCCAGCTGAAATCAATGGGTTTTTTTCAGTGCACTGGGGCTGAGGGCACCCGAAGAGATAAAAGGCTTGGCAAAGCCAGTCACAGAGCATCATACGTTGCTTTAACCTCTCCAACTTACCCAGTGAGCACCCAGCTGTAGGTCCGAGGGTCCATCTTGCTGGAGAGGAAGAGAGCATGGCCCCACAGCTGGTTTCTCATGGCCCAGACCAGAGCATCCTGCAAACAAGGTGGAGAAGAGAAAGGGTTTGCACTGACTTCACTTCCCTGCCCTCCTTTTCTGCCAGGGGACCCCCTCTGCTCACCCAGCTCAGAAAAGAGCTCTGATGACTGCTCTGGCTTTAACTAATACCCCCCCCCCAAAAAAAAATCTTCCGTATTCACAAAGGTCCCTTTATCTTTTTACCTTGCATGATGACAAGAAATGGGACCTTCATAGCAATATTGTCATCCCTGGATTTCCAGGTCTGTGCTGTCTGGTAGCTCTTGATGCCACCACCATGGAATCCCAGCCTGGGCACCCAAGCTCCTCTGCATCCAACCCTCTACTCTCCCTGTGCCTTTGATATCCTTTGAGATCATAGCTTCAACTAAACTCATGGAGCTGGTGAAAGCCTCGCATCTTGTCTTCACTCAGGGCCCCATCCCAATGGTGGGAAATCACGGCCATAAGCCCTGCCGTGCAAACACAACTTGAAGGGTTGATCCCACAACCACGAGGCACCTCTTAATGACACTTCCCTGTAAAACCTGCCTGAAGAGGCCAAAGAGGTCAAGGAAAAAAGTCAGCCCTGTGTCCTGGACCCTGCTCACCACTTACTTTCTTCCTGCCATAGTAGAGGAGCTTGGTGAACTTCTCCACTATCTGTGCCTGTGTCTCCACGATCGGAGGGACCTCCCCTGTGATGAGGTCCAGTGTCCCCGGCTGACGCGACATCCACTCATCATCCGTCAGGCCGATCAGGTTTGCTGCGGGGTTTTGCCTCTTGTACTTCTCCTGGCGCCTGCAGTCTTGCATCAGCAGCTCAGCCGTGTCCGAGCCCACCATAGACTGCGAAAGGGAAGGGGAGAAGCGAGGCCCATGGAGGCTGCCCTGTGTGCGAAGGCTGACAGCGCTTCCAGTCCAACACCCTTACACTCGTATCCTCATCCTAGCACATCTCCCCAACAAGACCAGCCTCAGCCACCAGCACGCAGTTTTGGAGGGCAAAGGATTCAACACAACTAGCAAGAGCTTCCCAGCACTCACTCTGAACATCATCTCTGCTTCCAAAAAGCAGCTACAGAACAGATTGGGTTGATTTCATTGGGTTAAGGGAATAATCCCCTTAAGTGTAAGTGCTGGCTCCTCGGTGAAGGTGGCAACAGTCCCGCTCAGAGCTGCTATGGCATTGGGTTGTTGGTAGTCCACAAGGATGAAAAGCAACCCAGGAGAAGGGTTTGCTCCAAGTACCTGGGCAGTGCCAAACTGATCGATGGTACTGTGGCAATGGGATGCTTTCATGGTACACTCCCCTGAAAATAGCGACTGGATCAAGAGGCACTTAAAGAGCATATAACTTGTCTCACTTGTCAGATCAAAAGGCTCAACCCCTTCCACAGGGCACTTACCCCATTCTGCCGGCAGAGAAGGACCAGGAGTTTCCAGAGAAGAGCTGAATCTCTGCCTCTCTGTGTTGAGAGATCACAGCTCGTGGCTATCTTCTGCTGGCAAAATGTCATCACATCCACCTTGTGCAGATCTTCCCTACAGCAGCAAAGAAAGGCATCAAAAGAAACACAAAGCAAAACAGTCTAGGACATTCAGACTCAAAGCATCCCCAGGTTCACCAATGGGGATGCCAAAGACTGAAAGTGAAAGACGAAGGAGAGAAGATCCCCAGTGCCAATGACCACATACCTCATTGGCCACACTAAGCTCAAAAATGCTTAAATTTTATCATTATGACTCTCTGCAGATTTCTGTGTTTCAGGGATCCAGAGTGCATCTCAAAGCCTCTCTGTCCTCCTGTTAATATTTTCATCCATCCATCTGCAAAGAACCTCAGTTTTGCTTTGCTGTGTGCTGCTGTTACAGCCGTGGATGTCCAAGGCTGCAGGAGCAGGAATACATACAGGCAGTATCCTTTATTTGATAAACTGGCATAGTGCAGGGAGGAAGACACGCTTTATGGGTGACCCCATAAACCCTTTGGGTCTGAAACAGAAGCAGAAACCTTTAAGCTATGTGCAAGCCAGGCAGAACCGCTGTCTTCCAATAAAATAATCAGACTGTTGGAAAGAAAAGGTGGCCGAAACACAAGATCAGCCAGGGTAGAGGGCCTGGGGATGGAGGTGCTGATCCTGACTCTATCACACCAACACATCATATGGAGATTCCCAACGTCCCCTTTAGCAAAAGTGGTAACCTCCAGGTTTTCTACCCAGCTCTTCCACTCAGTAAATGCTTTTCCTCCTTTTGCACACTCCTTTTCTCCCCCCGCTTTGGTTACGAGTGACTAGAAGACAGGCTGGAATAACCAGTACGATACAGAGCCGACCTGATGCCATACACCACGATTCATCCCCAGGCTCAGATTGGATGAAGGTACATATTGGGTCTGACCCTGCCATGCTCAACAGCCTCGGGGGACGAAAACCTTAGGAAAAGGTAAACCACAGGTTTTCCCAGGGCTTTAGACATCCAAACAGATCTCCCAAAAATCAGTTTTCTGGGGCATGAATACAAAATAAGGTCAGACATGCAAACCACACTAAACCCACACCTTATGAATATTCAAAAAAAACCCCACATCTCCCACAATCCAAGCCAACCTACACCACAGCAAAGATGGGCTCTCAATCTGAACCTAGGCTTGGTCTTTGCAGATCTCTCAAAACCATGGGAGCCCTAAAGTCTGCCTTGAGGTCATGTCTCCTCCCAAAGGAGAGGTGCTCCCAGGCCAGCCGTGCCAGTACAGCCAGAAGGACACAGCTCCTGGACCTGCCGGTGCAGCATACCTGGTCAGGGGCCCCGGGAAGGCCTGTAGTTCCTCCAGCTCTTTCGTGTCATGAAGGATTACCTAAAAAACAAGAGCAAGTTCAGCAGCTGGACTCCAGCGATCAGGCCAGCCTCAGCTAACCTTGGCCAAGGGTTCAACAGTGCTGGTGAAGCCTTCCTATGTGCTGTCCTAAGGTAACCCCAGAGCATAGACCCTAAACTATCACATGGACCCCAGGAAAGAAATGCCTGTTGCAATGGCATCTGCTTCCTTTGGGAGGCAAAACAGGAGACTGAAAACGCTGCGGTAGCTCAGGGGATGGGTGTGACTTTTGTATTGGAGCACTTCAGAAAGGTGAGCAGAATCACCCTTCGGAGAGGAATGGACCACGTCTGTCCCTATCAGAGGGCATCACTGTGAACAGATGACAAGGGTTACGGGGCTGAGGGAGCGGGATGCGGGGCCCGAAGGCTGGAAGCGACGCCCAGGCACAGGCTGGCACAGCGCAGACTCAAGAGCCCACGTGGGCTGGAGGTAAGACGGCAGCAGGGGACAGGAAGGCTGCCGAGGAAGCCCTTCGGGTGACCAACGGTGTTTGCGTCCCTCAGGACAAAAGGAGCCATTCCAGCGAGGGGACCGAGGGCGGGCTGGGGTGCGGGGCTGTGGCATACCTCCAGGCTGCATAGCTCGACGTGGGCTAGCTGCCGCTCGGCAGGGCGGTGGGGGCACACCCGCACCAGCTGGCTCCAAAGCACACCGCCACATGCGGCACCGAGAACTTGAGGGGCACCACTGGGGCCGGGGTGGACACCAAGGACCCCTCTGCAATGACACACAGGCCACCGTGAGTCCACCCACCCAGACCCCACACCGCCTCCACTATGGAGTTCACGACCAGGTCCCAACCTGGCCCCCCAACCTAAGTAACCCTCCACTGACCCCCTGTGCAAGAACTAGCCCCTAAAACAGAAGGCATGCGTGGCAGCTCCTGCACCCACCAGGGCAGAGCCACTGGACCATGCGCCCACCCCGCAGCCCCCCAGGTCATGCCCTGCAGCTGCGCAACCTCCCCCAGGAAAGGGCCAGGCTGCTAGACAGCAAATCTCCGAACACCAGCCATTTAATTTCCTTGCTCCCCCCTCGTCAGAGCAGGGCCAGGGCCCCGTCACTCCTCACCTGCCTGTGCCGGGCTCCAGGTCCCCGACGGCGCAGGGTCGTAGCGGTCGGCACCGTCGTGGAGGTACTGGCTGAGCTCGTAGCTGCTGGAGCTGAGCCCCGACTCACGGTACTGCCGGAGCAGGCTGGACTGGCCCGAGGGCTGCGGGGAAGGGAGAAAATACAAACCTGGCTGAGAAACGAGGGTCACCGCTGCTGTTCTGCTCCTCCATGAAGATGCCCAGGCCGAGAAGCACAGCACAGATGATTCCCAGCCCAGCAGCTCACACCCTTCAGCATCTTAGGTTCATCATGGCACATACCCTGGTCATAACCCAGTGGCTTTTAAAATAATTTATATCTGCCACCAGTCTAGCCCAACAGCTTTCCTAGCCCTAACACAAACTCCTCAACACAGCCAGCAGGCAGGGCTTGAGAATCAAAAAAAACTGCTCAGGAGCAAAACCACCACAGCAGCCTTTGATATGATCTTTTTAATTTGCTCTTTGGCAAAACACAGTGATCAGGACACGGGCGTGATGGAGCAGACTTTGGTGGACAGAGCTGACAACGACACACAGCTTTCAGCTACCTGTGGAGGATGCAGAAGAGCATCCCACCAAGCCGGGATTTCTGCCCTGCCCCTGGCCCCATGAGGGGGTGGCATGCAGCCCCATGCCTGGGGGAACAACAGCCCAGCAGGTAGTTCATAAATACTAATAACCCACTATAATAATCCCCAGAGACTGCTAAGCACCAAGTGCGACATAGCAAAGCAGCCCTTTTCTCCTCAGCCTCCTTTCCCAGCTGGAAGAGGGACACATGGATTGCTCCCAAAATCTCTGGGGAGATTCCCAAGACTTTTATCCTCCATCCCTGCCCATCTCGAGCTTACCTCTTGGGGCTGGCCCCCGGGCTCCCCTGAATTGCTGCTGAAGGTTTCTCCCCCTGCCCATTCCCGCTGGGCAGCCAAGACGTAGCTCTCCTCATAGGAATCGTAGGTCTGCGTCCTGCAGACGGGAGAAAAAAGAGACACCCCGAAGGTCAGAGATTTTCAGACCAGCCGCAAACCCGGTAATTTTGCAGCAGACAGTTGCACCAAGTGGTGCCCAGACCTCCCACCCTTACCTGTCCTGCCCCGGGGGGGTCGCAGCCAAGTTGGGGTGGTAACCCCTGTAGTAGTGCTGGTCCCGGTAATTGGTACTCTTGCGGTAAGGCTCTCCCTGTCTCAGGTCTAGAGAGAGAATCAAAATTGAGCGTTGCCCCTCCAGAGCAACAAGGCCTAACGAAGCTGCAAAAAGAAAGGAGTCGGACAATTTGCCGTGCACACCCCACTTGCTTCCAAATTAACCCGGCAAGTTGGAGGTATGATAAAGGCCTGTACATGTTTGCCGACATAGCACTGATTTCCTTTCCTCCCTCCCTTTTTCTTCAGCCCAGGAACTCCAGAAACAGCAAAAACAAGGCCCCAGCCACCCTGGTCACACAGCACCATCAGGATCAAGTTCAGCCCGGAACAGGGAATGAGGCAGGTTTTTAGCCATGCGGATCAAGATTAAACATTCCCTTTGGCACACATAGTCTCTGCTCAGATCTCCCAAACGCACACTCGTGGCAGTGCTGCACGGGTCCAGGAGCAAGCCCTGGAGATGTGCGAGCCCCAGAAGAACAATCCATCCCGGAGAAAGTATCACCTCTTCTCCTGCAAGCAAGTTGCCTCCATCCCCAGACTCAAAGGAGAACGACATACCTCTGTCATCCTGCCAGGCCCCCGGCTGCCACTGGTGGCTGTGGTATGTGTAGTCACCCCCATAGCCGGCTGCTGGATACCACCAGTGAGGGTCTTCATATCCTTGCCTGAAACATAACACAATGTAGTCTGAGAAAGGGCACCACGCCAGACTCTGGACCACATACTCATGCCCCAGATGGGATCTTTGGAGGCAGAAAGGGTGATGGAAAAGCCAGGTCCTATGCCCAGGTGCCTCGCTTACGCGGCAGGACCAGGAGCAGGTCCAGCATCGCGCACAGGAGGAGCGGCAGGAGGCTTGGATCTTTTCCCATCCTGTTCTACAAGAAAGCTTTTGCTCCGCAGTTTCAAGAGATGCTCAATGGTGTGGACGTGTCATGGGGATCAACTTGCACCCACTTCTTAGGAGAGGTCCCCCAAATACACCTTCTCCACCAAGCTCTGGAGCCGCCATGTCCACCCCACAGCTCAGCGCAGGTCTATGCCCCAGAGCCCCGGCTCCAGCCCAACCTGCCCACTCGGCGCTCGCACACCTCAACCCTTCCCAAGTCACACAGCCATTCGCTCAGCCCC